CCAGAAATAAGTTAATTTGATTTTTAAGGTAAGAGAGGAGAAGCCTAGTTTTACAGCAGTAGCCACTTAAAAATCCAGACTCGGCCTGGCTATACTGCATTGAAAAGGAACGGGACTGATGAATAAGAATCTCCCTTTCTTGCCTTGTTTGTGAGGAAAGTCATCTCATTCCATAGTGATGCCCTGTGCCCTGGTGAAGGGTTCTGAAAAGAGACTCCCATCCCATCCCGTTCTCTTAGATTCATGAAGACTACCTAACATGGGTCTCTGAAAGGAGTAAAGAAGATGGCAAAATATCCCCGTCATTGGTCTTTCTCACTGATCAACCCATGCTGGCTTTCCTTGTTATTGGCAGTGGTGGGTGTGAAGGGTATTTGTTTTTATTATTCACCTGAAATAATTTCATACTACTTTGCACAGAAAGGAAAGAAAACTAAAAGCAGCGGCTGACCAGGTCATGCTGTTGTTAAGTGCCATGGAGTCAATTCCAATTCATAGGGACCCTCTATAGGGTTTTTGAGTAGCGGCTGGTGAGTTTGAACCAGTGGCCTTGTTGTTCAAACCTACCTTTATGGTCGAGTGCTTATCCTACAGCACCAAACCAGGCTAGGTCATAGAGATCCCTAATCCGATGTGTCGGAATCCTGGTGTGACACTGTGCTATTAAGAACTGGACCGCAAGGTCAGTTTGAACCACAGGGACACTTAACAACAGCGCTGTGATACGTGAACATGCCGCCTTAACAAAGTACAAAGCAGACAAGCTGAGAGTCAGTAGTTGGAGCATAGTTTCATGGCCTAGACTGGATCCAGCTTGAAATTGAGTCTTTAATATTTTCATATGTGGAAGGATAGTGTAAGAGAATACAACTGCAACTCATGTTCTGTCTTTCGATCACATTTTGGTTCTGCTGCCTTGGGATTCAGGGTAAAACTGTATAGTAAAGTCAGGTGTGCCTGCCGTGCCTTTGTGCCTTAAGGATGCTAAAACTACTTTCTCAAGTATTATGTGTCATTTTATTCTGTCCAAAGTTTCTTTTTAATGATTTTCCATTTAATCAAAACAATTTGCTGGTGACTCTGACTAGTCTTTTCAAGTACCTCTTATCTCTTTAGTGATTGTGTCCCATGACCAACATTTACCAATTTACCTAAATTCTGACTTCAAATGCCAACATGAGTTACCAGGTTAGCTGAACAAAATTTTCTTGGGTTAATTGTTACAGTGGTTTAGTTTGTGTTCCTTTTTCCCTGAAAACTGTTGCCAGCTTACTTTTCTCACTATTCTATTTCTGTGTAGGTTCCAAATAAGTTCCGCTATCCATTCTACTATGAGATGTGTTGGTATGTGTTGGAGCGCTATGTATACTGCATAACCAATCGCTCCCACCTAACTAAGGAATTTCAGAAAGAGTCCCTTAGCATGGGTAAGTATTCTACCTTCCTGAACTTTCAGACCAAGACAGTCTTTGCAACCTGTGGGACTGAGAGTGAAGTCAGAATATTTATAGACTATTTTTCAGTTGTTAAGTGCCTTTAAGTCCTTTCTAACTCACAGTGACCCTGTATGGACATGGCAGTTAGCAGTCCCGTGCTTATCCTACAACAACACACCAGGACTCCTCAGTAGATTAGAGATTTTTGTTGTTGTTGTTGTTGTTGGTTTGTTTTCTTTTTCAAATCTACTTGAAATAATTAAAATTCATTTATTTGAACTGGGAGCTGGTAATAGCTGATCTCCTACCCAGCTGTGAATTACTAGGCTAGATGAAATGGTCTGGATCTCATCTTTGTCTAAGTTATTAGTAACTTAGCTCCTCAAGAAAGATGATAATTTGTCTGATGTTTTCTTGTTTGGTACAATAAAAATGAGAATTGTGACTTTATAATAATTCTTACTGTGTTCTAGACACTATACCAAATACTTTATATACATCAAATTCTTAGAATTATATAAGAATAAAAATAATGCCTGTTGTGTAGGTATTGTTATCCCCATTTTACAGATGGGAACATTGAGGTCCAAAGAAGTTAAAAAACGTGTCCATGATATTACATTTAATAAGTGACAAAGCTATAACTTGAACTTGGATTGTTTAGGCTCTAAAATTTACAGTCTCAACCCTTAATCCTTGTCCTTTAATGCTTCCCCATTTAAGTGCCCTTAAAGACACTTAACAACTGAAAAATTTTATTGAATGACAGGATAGTTTCAAGAACACTTTTTTATTTAAGCTGTTCCCTGCCTTAAAATGGAGAGGAGCCAACATTGTAATTGTAATACCCTATAGTCACATGTTTCTGTGGATTCTTTAATCCAAGCAATATGCCTGCTCTTCACTTAATGACATGGAGGAGGAGGATGACTATATCATCGCATAACTGCCTAACTAGTGACACATAGTCTTAACCATCACACCCACCGTTACTTTCACCTCACGTTTCAGTGTTGATTACTGCCAGATTTACATCATTAATGTACAGAATTGTCAGGTTTTTTGTTATTGATGTAAATGTGAACTGGTCAGACTTTCATCATTAATATGCAAAGTAGATTTTTTTTGTTATTGTTATAAATGTGAAGTATCCAGTAACAAGAGAGTAGATAGTGAAGAGGTGTCTATCTTTTGTTTTAGCATTTTCCTCTTACTCTACATAACATTGCTCATTTATCCTTTCATTTGAAAATTTTAAAATGTTCACTGTCTATGTGAAGGCAGTATACAGAAATGTACATGCAACATGATCCCTATATCTAGTCACAGTCATTCACATATGCATAGAAGACAATAGGGAGAAGAGGCAGCACACTAGTTCATTGTCATCCCAGGAGAGAGGGATAAGGGATGATGTACTTACTGCTTTGCACTTTCCTGATAAGCTGTTAGCTGCTGTTGGGTCAGTTCTGACTCATAGCAACCCTGGATAGCATTTCCATAGAGCAGCTGGTGGGTTTGAACTGTGCACTTCCCTACACTTTCAAAATAACTGATGTTGTTAAGTGCCTTCGAGTTGGTTCCAACCCATAGTGAGCAACCCTGTATAGGGTTTCCCAGGAGCAGATAGTGAACTTGAACCACTGATCTTGTGGTTCAAACTGACTTTGTAGTCCAGCGCTTTGGCCTACAGCACCACACCAGGACTGCTGATAGTGAATATAGATTGGGGGGGTCGGCGGGGGTCACAAAGTTTGTGGAAATTTTTCATTATCTTTTAATTCAATTTTCCCATCAACTTTTCACATGTCCTCACATTAATGTTATCATCATCATAAAAGACCAGTGAACATTTTTAACTTCTTACATAAAACGTTTTATTTTGTTGTGAGTAAAAATGCTCACTTTATTTTGCTTTCTAGCCTTTATTGCTAAACTCTAAAGTTTGTTTCATGGCCAAAACTTTGGACAAAAGTACTTTTTAAATCTATGTGCTATTTATTGTCTACTCTTTCAAAGATAATAAAATAATAATTCCAAATTTAAGCTTGAACTTGAAAATGATTTATAGGCAATTTCATAGGTAAGTTATTTCTAGTACATGTTCCAAAGACTTGAGCCCCTCCCAAGCTTTTAAAAATCCAGCTGACCATCACTTCATTACACCATCTGTCCTGCTAGGTCAGAAGCATTGTTAGTTACCAAATAAGCAGAGTAGACACAGTCTTACTTATGCTTACATAGATTTTTTTTTACATCAAAGATTCTGCCTCTATTAACTGACCTCTATATCTACCAATGCTACAACACCTTTCTACAAAATCAGTCTCTTTTCAAATTTACAATCTCTTAATAGATTTCCATCTTGTGAAAAAGCATGTGAAACTGTTTGCGCAAATAAGTACAAACAAGTATTTGCAAATCAGCCCATGCTTACCAGGTATGCTCATCATCAGTCAAGAGGCTACTTCTACCTTTAACCGTAATTTTCAACAGTGGCCTAACCAGCTCCTCTGAGTGCTTTGTTGTTGATGTTAAGTGCCAGCGAGTCAATTCCAACTCAGAGTGACCCTATATAAGGTGTCCAAGGAGCAACTGGGGGGTTTGAATTGCCGACCTTGTGGTTCACACTCCAGTGCTGATCCTGCAGTGCCACACCAGGAGTGTTTTAGGGATACGCAAAAGATATGTAGGCCCAGGGAGAAGAAAGCCATGTAGGAAAATGAGTTGGAATAAATAAATCCATTTGTAAAATGTGACCACTTAGTCATTCACTAGTTTATGATTCCTTCCAATCTACCTTTTTCTCTAGTTGGTCATAAGCGCCTAAGCAGCATGTGCTTACTGCATTTTCTTCTCGCTGGCAGATTTGGAGTTAAATGGGTTGGAGTCTGGAAATGGGGATGAGGACTCAGTGGATCGAGAAACTCGGCGCTTGAGCAGTAGGCGTTCTGTTCTCACAAGCCCCATAGCCAATGGGGTCAACATGGATTATGACGGACTGGGCAAAGCCTGCCGAAGTCTGCCAAGCCTGAAGAAAACCTTGTCCAGTGACTCATCCTCTGACTCTAGCCGGGGTTCCCACAATGGCCAAGTGTGGGATCCCCAGTGTAGCCCCCGAAAGGACAGGCAGGTACATCTGACCCATTTTGAGCTTGAAGGCCTTCGCTGCCTTGTAGATAAGTTGGAGTCTCTGCCACTGCACAAGAAATGTGTCCCCACTGGGATAGAAGACGAAGACGCCCTCATTGCGGATGTAAAGGTAAGGGCTTGTACTGAGTGACAGCTCCTGACCTGGGTAGGATTTAGGGGAGAAACTACAGAAATGTGCATTACCTTTGATTCAACTGGAGAGAAGCTAATAAGTACATGCATGTTTGTGTTGCTCAGTGTTTCAGTTCCTACAGGGAGGGTAGGTCCTTGTGAAAATGCTGACATTTGTATTTTGAGTTCATTTTTTAATGCTAAAAACAGATTTTACGCTGGCCCTCTTCCCTTTCTCAAATAAAGGAGAACTGGAGAAAGTCTTTGTAGTAAGAAATACTGCTTTAAACTAAAACTTGTTGTTGTTAAGTGCCATTGAATTGGTTCCAGTTCAATAAAGAGGCCTATTTGAGGGCAAAAGTGGCTGATAATAGTGTCTAGCAGTCTTGTCCCAAAAAGATTAGGAGAAAACAAAGTGTTGTTCTATGTCGTGTTGAGAAGAGGTTTAGTTTCTTTAGTTATACATTTATCTAGCATTAAGACATAAATACATATAAACAATTTCTGAGAAAAGTACCATTTTAAGCATAATCCATCCTATTGCTTTATCAAATTTTTTTCATCTTTTTTTTTTTTTTGCTTCTTTTTCAAGAGGTCTCCTGGCATCTAATTCTTTCAGCCTGGCCCACACTGCATGTATTGTTCTCAGAGAAATGAGCTTAAGTATAAGAAATCCAGATTTGTGCTGTATGAAATGGAGGAAGTTCTTTTTTAAATCTTTCCTCATAAGTGACTATTAATGTCAACACTGCAGAATGTAAAGCTGGGACTAACAATATTCTTTTTCAGTCAGCTGTGTTTTGAGCTATGTCTCGGGTACAGGACATGACTCTGTATTAGAAAACTCGTGTAATTCGTGTATTATAAAAACTTGTCACATAGTTTATGTTAAGTCACAGAAGAATTTATAGGGAATAGTTTTATGTGACCTTAAGGAAGATGAGCTAAACGTATTATAATGGGTCCCTTCCATATCAGACTTCTTACTCAGGTTTCCTTGGTGGTGGTATGCCTTGGAGTCAGTTCCAGCTCATAGTAATCCTGTACAGGGTTTCCAAGGCTGTAAATCTTTACAAGAGCAGAAAACTTCCTCTTTCTCCCATGGAATAGCTGGTAGTTTCGAACTGTTGACTTTGAGGTTAGCAGCCCGATTTGTAACCACTATGCTACCAGAGCTCCCTCAGGTTTCCGTAGCTACCATATAGTTAGCTGAGGTGCTGCCCAGCTTCTAACAGCCACCTTGCCACCTTAGGAAAGAATGCCAAAAACTGGGATATTACCTAAATTTATTTAGCTGCAAATTTTATTTATTATTTATTTTTATTTTATCTATTTATTTATTTTTGTAATTGACATTTAAATTGTATCTTATTGTGTATACATCACTGAAAAGCAAAAAAATTAAGAGAGTCTTAAAAAGTACTGGTAATCTGGTGAGGTCTATCCTCTTCACTAGTGACAGAAGCTGGACAGTTGGTTTTATAAGGTTTGCAAATTGTGTCACATTGGCTTGTATTTAAAGGAAGAAATAGCAGTGTCCTGAATAGGTGCAGACCTGTTTCTGTGGTGATTTAGCGTCCAACAGAACATAATGCCGTCCAGTTCTGTACCATCCTCGCAGTCATGGCTATATTCAAGCCCACAGTTCCAAGCACTGTGTAATCCCTCTTATTGAGGCTCACCCTCTTTTTTGCTGGCCCTCCACTAAGCATAATGTTACTGGTCTCTCCTGATAACCTGTCCAGAGTCCATGAAACAAAATCTCACTGTCTTCACTTCTAAGAAACATCCTGCCTGTACTTCTTCCAAGACAAATTTGTTCATTCTTAGGTCAAGTAATTGATGGTATGACCACTATTCTTCACCAACTCCAGAATTCAGAGGCATCAATTCTTTGATTTTCTTATTGTCTAGCTTTCACATACATATGAAGATACCATGGCTAGGTAGGGTACACCTTAGTCCTCAAAGTGACATCTTTGCTTTTTAAGACCAAAAAAAGGTCTTTTGCAACAGATTTACCTGATGTAATAACATTGTTATTTCTTGACTGCTGCTTCCATGGGTATTGATTGTGGATCCCAGTAAAATGAAATCCTTGAAAACTTGGATTTTTTTCTCCGTTTATCATGATACTGCTTGTTGGTTCAATTGTGAGGATTACTGTTTTCATGATGTTGAGGTGTAATTCATACTACAAGCAGTAGGTTTCGGTCTTCACCAGTAAGTGCTTCAAGTCCTCTTCACTTTCAGCATAGAAAGCTGTTATCATCTGCATTTCTTCCAATCTTGATGCAGTCTTCATATAGTCCAGCTTCTCCGATTATTTCCTCAGTATACAGATTGAGTAAGTACAGTGAAAGAAAGGATACAACCCTGGTGCACGACTTACATGATTTTCAACCACACAGTAACCCCTTGTGTTGTTTTTTTTTTTGTTGTTGTTGTTTGTTTGTTTGTTTTTAGGTCATTGTACACGTTCTACATGAGCAGAGTGTTGTTCATAATTGGTTATTACCCACAAATTATATTATTAATCATGTGTCTTTGCATAGTCAATAAAACACAGATAAACATCTCTGTGGTATTCTCTGCTTTCAGCCAAAATCCATCTCACATTAGCAATGATATCCTTGTCCCATGAATCTAGCTTGAATTTCTGGTAGTTCCCGGTCCATGTACTGCTGCATCCGCTTTTGATTATCCTCACAAAATTTTTATATTAATGATACTGCCTGATAATTTTTGCATTCTGTTGGATCTCCTTTCTTTGGAGTGGAAACTAGTATGGCTCTCTCAATTGTCTTCCAAATTTGCTAGCATATAAGAGTGAGTGCTCCCAGCATTTAATTCATTTTTTTCAAACTTGTCATTTGGTCTTCTGTCAGTTCTGGAGCCATGTTTTTGGCCAGTGCTTCCTGTGCAACTTAAACGTCTTCCTTTAATGTCGTTGACTCTTGATTCCATGCTACCTGCTGAAATGGTTAAATGTCAGCCAATTATTTTTGATACCGTGACTTTGTATTCCTTTCCATTTCTTGTGATGTATCTTGTGTCGTTCATTATTGTGCCCCATGGTCTTGTGGTTAGGTGTCTTAGCGTCTACTCTGACTCATAACAACCGTGTGCACGACAGGATGAAACACTGCCCGTCCTGTGCCGTCCGTCCTCACAATTACTGTTTTGTTTGATGCCATTGTTGCTGCCACTGCCATTCCATCTTGTTGGGGAAGTTCCTCCTTTTCAATGATCCTCTCCTGAGCATGATGTCATTCTCCAGGGACTTGTCCCTCCTGACAGCGTGTCCAAAGTATGTGCTATGAAATCTCGCCTTCCTTGGTACTAAAAAGAGCATTCTGTCTATACGTCTTCCAGCACAGATTTGTTTGTTCTTGTCACAGTCCATTGTTGTTGTTATTGATAAGTGCCATCTGGTTCTGACTCATAGTTGACCTTTTGTAGGATTTCCAGGGAACGGCTGGTGAGCTTGAACCACTGATCTTACGGTTCAAACTACCTTAAACAGTCTAGCACGTTAAGCCACACCTGTCTGTCTGCGGTATAGTTTCATTTTTTGTGAATACCATAAATCAAAGGCATCAATTCTTCGTCAGTCTTCTGTATTCATTGCATGCCGTGGTTCAGGCATACCTTAGTCCTCAAAGTGATATCTCTACTTTTTCAACACTTTAAAGAAGTCTTTTGCAAAATATGTACCTAATTTGCTTGATTTCTTGATTGCTGCTTCCATGAGCTTTAGTTTTGGAACCAAGCAAAATGAAGTCTTTCACAACTTCAATCTTTTCTCCATTTGTCCCCATGTTATTTATTGATGCCATTGTTAGGGTTCGTATTCTTTACATTGACACAATCTTGCTTGTTGGAAGCAAAGAGAACTTAAAGTCTTTACTAACGAAGATTACAGAGTATGTAGACTTCAGCAAGATTATGTCGTCTGCATATCGCAGGTTGTTAGTGAGCCTTTCTCCAGTCAAATGCCATGTTCTTCTTCATATAGTCCAGCTTCCCAGATTATTTGTTAAGCATACAGATTGAATCAGCGTATAGATTGATAAGTATGGTAAAAGGATATAATCCTTATGTATACCTTTTCTGATTTTCTGCCATGTGGTGTCCCCCTTAAATTGTTGGAACAACTGCCTTTTGGTCTTTGTACAGCTTCGTCTGGAATTCCCATTCTTTGCAGTGTTAGCTACTGTTTGTTATTATCTACACCATCAAATACCTTTGCATAGTCAGTAAAGCATTCTCTGCTTTCAACCAAGATAAATCTGATGTCAACAATCATATCCCTCATCCCACATCCTCTTCTGAATCTGGCTGGAATTTCTGACAAGTCCCTGTCATTGCACTCCTACAACTGTCTTTGTTGGCTGAAAGCAGAGAATATCAGAAGGATGTTTACCTGTGCTTTATTGACTACGCAAAGGCTTTCGATTGTGTGAATCATGAATGACAAGCTATGGACAACATTGAGAAGTATGAGTATTCCAGAACACTTAATTGTACTTCTAAGAAATCTGTACCTAGACCAAGAAGCAGTTGTT